AAATCCTTGCTATAAATCATCAATTCTAATCAAGTTTTCCTTTAGTACTTTAGTTATTTTCTAACTACATTCTTATTGGTTGATATAACCATTAAAACATGTTGATTTACAACTAAATAGAGCCTTTATACTAGATTTGCTACCTACGAGGGTCCACTATAACTATATACATTTATTTAATATTTAACATTTAATATAGTTTATATTTTCAGATTATTATTAATTGTATCTTTTTATTATGTTAGAAAATGGTTAATGATATATTGCTTATTTGCTAGATAATTAAGATTTTTTTTCTCATGATTTGTGTCAAGCTGCATTAGGGTGAGAACTAGAATTGAACACAAAGCAGCATATACCATTTTTTTAATGCTTTAAATATTTTAGATACCTAAATTTCAATTATCAAAATGTTTCACATTTACAACTAAATGATATCTTAAACAGAGGGATTAACTGTAGTCAATAAACAAAACTATTATTTCAGCCCAACTTGGTAAATTTTTCAAATATGTACAAGTGAAAATGACTGGAGCTTAAGTTTCTACTTGCCTAAGGGTGGGTCTACACTTAAAACACTGCAGCGGTGCCACTGTAGTGCTTCAGTGAAGACGCTACTATGCCAACAGCAGAGCTTCTCCCATCGGCATAGTTAATCCACCACCATCAGAGACGGTGCCTATGTCGATGGGAGAAATTCTCTCATTGATAGAGAGATGTCTACACCGGGGGTTAGGTCGGTATAATTGTGTCATTCAGGGGTGTGGATTTTTCACACCCCGGAGCGATGTAGTTATACCAATGTAAGTTTATAATGTAGACCTGGCCCAAATCTCTTGAAAATGAGACAGTCTATTATATTACTTAGACTGTCCTTCAAACTTTTAAAACTAGGGGATCTCATCCCCTCCCTCCTTGTTTTTATTCATAGACTGGAGGAGACAAGACAAGTTTTCCTGCTTTTTCAACTCCTAATTGACTTCTCAACTTTGAGTGTATTAGTCCAGATGAAGAAAATACTCTTTCTGTGCCTGCAGAAGAGGCTAGTGTTGTCAAAAGCAGTTGTAGCTCTTCAACAGGCTCTGGTTCCAGGTGCTTAGCTAGTCACTTTCTTTAAAAGATCATCAGCAAACATGTACTGCTTGAATGGTTCACCTCCAAACCTGAAAGTCATTGTGGTTAGCATAATTAATGGGTGATTATTAGATGCTCATGTCATAGTGGCATCATCTCCTTCAGCAGTTAGACATCATCTACCCTACCCCGGTACTTTGGGTTGGGAATATTGGCAAGAAAATGAGGTGGAGTTAAGTGCCTGATCCATCTGCTTCTTTACTGCCTGCAATTTAACTTTGTTGTTGGGTATTTCTTTCTTCAATGTTTCTTGACATTCTTTCCACATTTTAACAACATCAGCAATATAGCAGCATCTTTGTGCAGTTTGTCCAAGGCTATGGAAATAGGTTTTTGTTAAGTTGGCCCTAAAATAATGGTTGCAGCTTGGGTCATCTAGTACATTGAAAGAGGAGGGCACTTTTCAGGGACTTCTTGCTTCTCAGCTCTATGAGCTAAGATGTGAAAAAATTATCTAAGTTATACATTTCTTGCTTTGGGAAGCATGGCTGTCTTTTGGTATTAATTTAATAGCACTTTTTACTTAGTTCATTTGGATTATTTTCTCTAGTTCTGAAAATAGGAGAAAATTAGGGGGGGGGGAGAACTTTCACTTTCTAGACAACAGCTATTCCTGCATTATTGTGGACAGCTAATATTCTAAACCACTGTGTTCACTTCCATCCTCTGTTCCCCAACTCTTTATTTTTTAGTGGGCTTTGAAATACAGCACAGTCCTTTAAACAAGTAGACCTTTCTTTATTTGCAAGTCATTTGTGTCCTGTTAAATGGATTATTTTAGGTCCTCATTGCTGATAACAAATGTTAGGCTACCAATAAGTAATACACTGGCTTAGTAACTGTTTCCTTATGTCTGCTTTCATAACTGTAACAGCCTATAACTTACTCATAGCTAAAAGAGTTTTCCATAGCTCAAGAGGTAGAGGGCTGGGTTTTTGGTTCCAGTTTTGTTATCTGCCATCAACTGTGGAAAGTGAGAGTGTGTGTGTGTGTGTGTGTGTGTGTGTGTATATATATATATGTCCTCAGTTTGTCAAAAATACACTCTAAAAGGTTTATAGTTTATCTGCAGTGTTGTTAAGGTAGTTTCTTTTATTACCCATTCAGATATTATCTGTACTTCTCAAAGGCAAGAATACTGTAATAGATCCCCACTCTGGAGTTGGATTCCTTGTGCATGATTGAAGTTAGAACCTTCTCGGGTGACCATATTTCCCTATGCTGAATACGGGACACCTGGTAAAATTACTCGTATTCAAGCAAGTTCAATGGCAGTCAATCAGAACTATGCACTACAAACATTCAAAAACATACAAACCCGTTAAAAAGAAATACTGCGTAGTTGGATTATTTTTATTTACCTTCTTATCTTTAAGGCTTTAGGGTTCACACAGGGAGGAGTGACACACATGGGGAGAGGTGACACACACTCCCGTACAACTCTCTTGCGGGGGGTGACTGACCAACCCGACCCTCCCTGCCTGCTGTGCTCTGCCCTCCATGCCTGCTCCTGGGACAGACCCACGTCTCCCAGTACTTGGCCCCGGGGCAGCTTGCAGTCAGGGGTACAGGATTTCTTTTAGTCATTGTGGTTCCAGTTGAGGGCAAAGGTAGGCAAGGAAGTGCCCTTAGAGCTGGCTAGGATAGGGACAGCTGACTCTGGAGGGAATGGTACACTGGAGAAATTCATATTTTCATTTTCAGTGATCTGGAAGGGGGGTTTAGAGGAGCTGGAGTCTTTTTATGGGTCCTCCCACTTGCCCATGAGCCACAGTGAAAATGAAATAGTCTCACAGGAGTTTAAAGAGCTGCTTTGCTGATCACACTGTTCCCCTGAGTGCTCTCCTCACTCACTTGGCGAAGGGGTGAGAGCAGTGCTGGTAGCAGAAGTTTAGATTCTTTTTTTTCCTAGTATTACTGTACGTTTATTTATCCAAGTAAAATGTATCCTGTCGTCACCCTGCCTTGTCTCCCAGGGTATAAAGCTACCCAGAGTACTCTCAATCCACCATACATGTTTAGTAAGTGAAACAACATAACTTCATTGGTGAACTGTATCAACTTTCTCTGCACTGCCTCTTCCATGTAATTAATAAATACATCAACACTGGCCTCAAAACTGACCCCTGGAGAATTCCCCTATTAACTTATTTTAACTCTGATGAATAGTGGGTTACAATAACTGTTTCCTATTGTTGAACCTGTGTATAATTCACAGCACGACTTTATCTCTTACCCTATAGTTATTTTTCTTACTAGTCTTTTATGAGGCACTGTAACAGGGTGGCAAAGTGCATGATCTTGCATAGGGATGCAGGGTTCTTTTGTTGATCCATCCTGTTAAGAGGAATTAGAATCTTGCATAAAGCTGATAAGTAAATTCTGTTGATTCATTGTGCCACCAAGATACAACAGAAATGTGTGTGTAGGACCCTTACATGAGTATAGGGGAAATTAATGTTCAGACAGGAAGGTCCTGTAAGAAACCCTAAGAAGATATAGGCATAAGGGGAGAGGTTCCACTGAGGTTTGTGCTGATTGACTCTATTGGTAACTCAAAAATAACACAGCCACCATGAGGGGGCAAGTTTGACTTTATTCAATATGTGTGAACTTTATTAGAAGTAAGATGGGAATGCTTCCTGCTTCATAGGCAACTTAATGGAAAATATTATGAAAATCCAGGTAATTCAGTTTATCCATTAGGTCATCCGTATCTGATATTTCATTAAACTTTTCCAAATACCTTTAAAAATATAAGGATTGACGCTTTCCTGCCAACAAGTCTTGCTTTCTCAAGGCCAAAGGGAGTCCCACATTTCCATTGACATCTGGAGATCAAGCAGCAGTAGAATTCAGCTGGAATTTAGTTACACACAAAAGTTGATAAACCCAAAGGGATTACACATCTAGGAGCTAGTACGGAGTATGGAGAACAGTTTTCTAACAGTGTAACTTCCAAGAAGTAATAATTAACACTGTGCAGGAATTTAACATAAACCTGGAATTTCAGCTATCTGCAATGTCATAAAGGCTTATGTTACCTACCATTGGGTACATATGGGAGCACTAACTGCCCTGAGGATTTCCACACCCTAGACAATTAACCTTCTCACTCTAGTATCTCCAGATTTCTATAGGTAAGCTTCAGGTTTAGCCCAGCTGTTCAGTCTCCTGTTTCTTGCTGGATTCTTAACCTGGTACACTGGTCTCTTTGGAAACCTCTCTTGGCAGTGTTTCATGTTGTTCTTCACTGTAGAAGTTACTTTTCCTATTATCAGATTAATTACATAGGCATAGAAAGTTCAAATTTTAACATACTGTCAGGCAGTCGGATCTTCAGTTTATGCTGGGTAAGGTGGTTCAAAGAACAACACCTGAGTTTCTGTCAAAGCTCAATTCAACCTTTCACCTGAGCTAGCAGATACATCTATATGGTTCTCTGAATGGCTGCAGAGCAATTAACTATTACCTATCTTGAACTTGTCCATTTTGTAAATCAGGTACACTGTTAGTTATTTGCAGGATCACAGGAAATGGATCAACGCCATGAAAGCAAGCGTTTCATGTTGGGTCAAGTTGGTTGTAGCAGCTCCCATTAGACTCTGGCAGAACAAATCATGCAGAAAATAGAGTAAATTTTACAATTAATCTGAAATATTAAAAACATTAAATCTTATAAATGTAATGTGAAAATAATTGTGATCTAGCTATTATACGAAAGTTGTTGTTTATCCTTTCAATTGGACTGTCGTCTTTGTCTGAATATTTAACCTTTTAATGATGTGAAATAGTTTTTGAGCTTGTTTTAAGTGGAATCCTTCTGGGTAAGGAAGTAATGTTTTGTCTTGCCTATGTTGTTGCAGACTCTCCTACAGATTTTTGGCGTGGTAGCTGTGGCTGTGGCAGTGATTCCTTGGATACTCATCCCTTTAGTTCCACTTTGTATTCTTTTCATTTTTCTTCGACGGTATTTCTTAGACACAGCGAGAGATATTAAACGTCTGGAGTCCACAAGTATGTTGCTTGGATAGAGCTGATTTTAAGTCTGAGCAACAATTATATGAGATGCTAAAATTCTGCAATCAATTAATTAATCGGGAATTTTTGCTCTAGTTTTGCAGATTATTTGCTTGTTGTCTTGGGTCTCAAACCAGCAAAATCCTTCAACACTTGCTTAACCCCAGGCTTAAGCCCACAATTAATGTCTTTGAAATTAAATGGACTACTCATATATTTAAAGTTATGGACATATTTAAGTGATTTGCTGGATCTTGGCCTTATTGGGCTAATTGCACATAATAATGTAGGTTTTGACCCAGTGTGACCTTCATGATTATCTCTGTATTTCAAATTGACTATAGTATTAAATAGCGGAGTCTGAGTCTTGAGCATCATGAATTTAAAAAAAAAAGTTGGGTGCATTATCTGATTAGTAAAAGAAACAAAGGAAGAAGCCATGGATGATAACAAGTGTTGAAAACTTTTTTTGTGTCAATTAGATTAATCCATTTTGCCATCCAAGTGGGTGTAATTGAGTAACAGGAAAGTAGGTTTATCCTAAAAGATGCGATTCACTGGCTTGTGTCAGTAAACAGAGAAGTAGGATTAAAGATTAACATAGTGCAAAAAATTACCAACACTGCCCTTCAGCTACAATAAATTAGTCTTTTTTACTTTACAGCTCGAAGTCCAGTGTTCTCCCACTTGTCAACATCTCTCCAGGGACTTTGGACGATTCGTGCTTTCAAAGCAGAGCAAAGATTCCAAGAATTATTTGATGCTCACCAAGATCTTCACTCAGGTTTGTCATGAATAGACATGGACAGCTAAGTATGTAGCTCTTTCAGAGGAAAATATTTTCTCCCCTCAGATACACGTGAGCAGCATACATGCACAACTCATGCTGATTTTAATACATCTCTCTTTAGGGCAAAATCTCCCCATTAGTAGATTTCATAGTTGTTTCTTCTTTCTGTCTGGATTTGTAGAATACACTTTGGACTCTAGAATAGTTTGAGAGATCCAAGCAGGCATCATAACAATATTTAAGATAAACATTTTAAAGTACACCTCTACGCCGATATAACGCTGTCCTTGGGAGCCAAAAACTCTTACTGCGGTGAAACCGCGTTATATGGAACTTGCTTTGATCCACCAGAGTGCGCAGCCCCACGACCCCAGAGCACTGCTTTACCGTGTTATATCCGAATTCGTGTTATATCAGGTCGCGTTATATCGGGGTAGAGGTTTATACCCAATAAGTATATTTAAAGTATCATTTTCCACCAAGTTCCCATGTTGCATAATATTTTAAGGCAAAACAAGTTATACTTAGCAATATTTAATATTATTCAGGTGGAACACTAAGGATGTGTCTACACTAAAAAATTAAATTACCCTATATACAGCCACTGCAGTAATTACTGCCGTGGTGCATGTCCACACTACTCTCCTTGGGTTGGTGGTGCGTATCTCAACAGGAGCGCTGCCACGACCTAAGAGGGGGAATGTGGGGAGCTGAGAGTCTCTTGCTGCAAGGCATTTTCTCCAAAACTCCAAATAATTTGTGACTTTTTTCTGCACCTCCAGTTTTTTAATATATTTTGAAAATGTGGACACCTGAACTTTACATAGTATTCAGTATCAGTCTCGCCAATGCCTTATACACAGAAGTAAAATTGCCTCCCTATTTCTACTTACTACTGCCCTGCTTATACATCCAAGGAGCGCATAGCCCTTTGTGCCACAGCATCGCACTGAAAGCTCATGTTAAATTGCTTGACCACTATGACACCTAAATCCTTTTCAGAGTCACTGTTTTCCGGAACACAGGCCCCCAGTCTGTAGGTATGGCCTGCATTCCTTTTTCCAAGACATGTAACTTTGAATTTGGCTATATGAAAATACATTTTATATGAACAGGCCCAGATTACAAAGCGATACAGAATTCTACCTTATGCCTATTTGACTTCTGTTATTGGCCCTAAATTTGAATACTTTAATTTTCATTATACAGACTATGCTGCTTTCTTCTGTGATTATATCAAGTAACCTCCACTGTCCAGTAATACTCAATTCAGTGAAGCATATTGGGATATACTTTATCTAAATGTTATATGAAAGAAAATTGCAATGGTGTTTTACGTAGCGTACTAGGCATCTGATCCAAAGTCCATTGAAGTCAATTAGACTCTTTTTGTTGGCTTCAGTGGGCTGTGAATCAGGCGCTAGCATCTTTTATTTCTGTTTCGACTCTTGTTTGATATACTAGTCTCAGCTGTGTTAAACAGTGTGAAAACCTGAAAGCTGGCCAGCACTAGCTAGGAAAATAGGGCATCATCATCGTCAACACATGCAAACTCTCTCCAAGAGAATATTTTTGCAGCTTATAGAATTAGTCCATGCTGATTTTATGTCTTATGGGAGTCAATATAGAGCTTATTTCTTCCCAATAACTTATTGTTCTTATTATGACTTTTAAAAAACTTTTTAGAGGCTTGGTTTCTGTTTTTGACTACCTCCCGATGGTTTGCTGTGCGGCTGGATGCCATCTGTGCCATCTTTGTTATAGTGGTTGCCTTTGGTTCCCTGCTTCTCGCAAACAGTAAGTACAGATGCTAGGAATGTTAATGCTATAATTACAATTTATAGCAATACCTTATTCTTTTTCAGAGTTTACTTTCTGTAATTGTTTAAGGATTGCAATTAAGTAAAATGTTTCTTTCTAGTTCCTGGTCTGTCCCTCAGTCCAAGACATTCCTGTAAGTACTGGAGACAGTTCAGACTTCTCTGGGCTCAAGGGCTTGGCCATGAACCTAACATCCTTCCTCCAAATTATCTCCCCCGAGTGTTGCAGGAAAGCTTGCAATTCTACAATCTTGCCTTTACTGTTGAAATACTAGCTTTTAAAGCTGTCTTTGGGACAACAACATTTGTTTCCCTTCTTGTCGCGGCAGACTCAGCCAAACAGAGCAGGCTGAACATTCAGGGATGCAGCTCAAATGTCTTGGGTTCAGGGAGAGGCCAATCCCAGAAAGGGAGATTTTATTATAAGAAGCTTTATATTCATTGTCATTCTCATGCTGTTGTTTTATATGATCATCCCAAAATGTAATTATGGTAGATGTTCTAAAACTAGATAGTCTTCTAAAATACAAAGGAAGTAATTATCTTGGACATGAAATTTGGGTGCTAAATTTGCTGTTCTTTGTTTCCTTTATTTTTCCTTTAAGATAATATATATAGACCTATATACATTGCATTATAGAGAAGATTTCCAGCTAGGTTTCAAGTTACTAGACTTGAAGACAAATCAAAACACTGGGCTTGATTTGTCTCTCCAATCGGTATAAGGAGTAGCTTTTGTGAAGTCAGTGGAGTTATGCTGATGTAAAATGGCTATAGTGAGAGGAGAATTGGGTCCCATATTAGGACCAAATCCTGTTTAGTTTATTCACAAGAGCTGACTCTTTGAGTGTAATGAGTCTGTCCATGTGAGTAGGGTGAGCAGAAGTTTGCCCTTCAAAAACTTCTTGTCTGCTCTTACAGTGCTTTGCACCCATTTATACCAGTACATAGTTTGTGTAAATGCTAGCAATGTGTTTTAGTAGCGTTGTATGCTCACCGTGCACAGGTTTAGGAGCCTGATCCAACTCCCTTTGAAATTAATTGAAAGATTCTCAATTGCTTAACTGAATAGCGATGACCCTAAACTTGTGCTTAAGAGATTAGTTGATTCTGGGCTTTGTTGTTGTTGTTGTTGTTGTTAAAGACAAGGTGCCTGGCAGTGGAGAACCAGGACCTTATTTTCAAACACGAATATAGTTTTAGAAAGCTTACAAAAGTAATGTGACAAGATAGACCTTTTCCACAGAGCTACTATTTAAACTGGTGTGACTGAGAGCCAATCTGGCTCTACCACTTCAATGGCATATTAGTTTGAAAGACAAGTAGAGTTTTGTGTAATTATATAGATGTGATTTTTCTCCTCCTCGCCCTACAGCTCTGGATGCAGGACAGGTTGGCTTGGCATTGTCCTATGCAATCACGCTCATGGGAATGTTCCAGTGGGGAGTTAGGCAAAGTGCTGAAGTTGAAAATCTGGTAATATTAATTTGCTCAACTTCATATTTTTCACATCTCTTTGCTGTTAAGTGACATGAAATACATTTGAAGTGTTATCTTTGCATTAATGGAATTTTAAAGACCCTGTACCCCATGCCAAAACTGAACTGCCTCCCATATTTGCAGGAAGAGAGAGGCAGCCCAAGTGTCTCAAATTTGGGGAGGGGGTAGTTCCGTTAGTTAGTCTTTTCCATTTAGAATCCCGTAAAATCTTAGTTATCAATAAATCTTGCTGCCTCTTTGATATTTGTATGTCCATGGATATGAAAAAAAATTCTGCTAGCTATCCAGCCAATACTGTAGTAACCAGTATACTGATTTGGCTCTGCTGATGAATTATAGATATTCATTCCAAGCACATAATAACCTTAGCCAGAGCTGCAAGGGACAAGCTCATTGGTGAAACCCCAGAGATAGTGGTGGCTCAGTACACACAAAAATGATAAACTTATCAATGATATTACTAATAGGCTGGGTCTTCCTGTAGCTCAGATGTAAGTCTGATCTCTAGTACTACTCCCATAGATGCCCAGGAGAAAGACAACCTATCATGTAGAAAATAAGGCTCCAGTCCTGCAAAGTACTTAAGCATGTGAGTAATCCCATTGTCCTCAAATTAATGCTTACATTGACTCAATTAACATGCTTTAAAATTAAGTACATGCTTAAATGTTATGCTGGATCGGGACCTATATTAGGAGGTAAGACTTGCATTTCTATTTAATAAAAATAGGACAGTACCATGATTCGTCCTCCCCCCCCCCCCCCAGCCCCCCATATGATTGAAAGAAAATTTCTGGTGTCATTTTGTAGCTTTTTATATAATCAGAATGTTACCCCAAATATAAAAGAGTTTGAGTTTATTGCTTGTGTGACTTTTTTCTAGATGATCTCAGTAGAAAGAGTAATGGAATACACAGAACTTGAAAAGGAAGCTCCTTGGGAGTCGAACAAACGTCCACCAGCTGAATGGCCAAGCCAAGGAGTGATAGCCTTTGAAAATGTTAACTTCACTTACAACTTAGATGGACCCTTGGTGTTGAGGCACTTGTCTGTTCTAATTAAATCAAAAGAAAAGGTATGCATTGCATGCTTACTTCAAATATACACAATTTTCGTTAAGGAGGTAATACCTTATGGTCTTTTTTTTTTTTCAACTCTATACAGTGCTATAAAATATACCAGGGTGGCCAAACTGTGGCTTGTGAGCTGCATGCATGCATCTCTTTTATAGTTAAAATGTGGCTTGTGGAGTCCCCTATACCTCTCCATTCTCTGCCTATCAGACTGGGGCGGAAAGCTCAGGGCGTCTGCCCTGCAGTGTGGTGGTGGGGATAGGGGCTTCTGCCAGAGACGACTGGTGCCTGCTGAGAGTGGGGGGCACAATTTAAAGGTTTAAACAGTTTGAGTCACACCCCCAGGTATGCCCCCCAATTACCCTCAGTGGCCCCTTCCTGCAGCTCCCCCATGTTAGCTCTGCATGAAGAGGCACAGCAAGCAGCTGGGAGCTTCGGGGGGGAGCTGCTGCTTTAGCTCTGCAGGAAGAGGCAGCAGCAAAAGCAGCGGCTCTCCCTGCTGCTCCCAGCTGCTTGCCACTGCCTCTCCGAATGGCTGCAAGTTCCAGCTTGCCAGCTCCAGGAACTGACCTAGTGGAGGCCAGATAACCCTAGCAAAAATCGGGGGGGGGGGGGGGGAACCGCACGCGACCCCACGTGCCCCCCCCCCCCCCCTGCCTCCCCTGTGGCTTCTGCCAGCAGGAAGGGGGCCCCGAGCCCTGGCAGGCACTTCCCGCAGGGCTGAAGCCCCAAGACCCCCCTCCCTGCCAGGCTGAAGCCCCAAGACCCCCCTACCTGCCAGGCTGAAGCCCTGAGCTCCAGCAGGCCGCCCCGGCTCTCAAACTTCTGAAGATTGTCATGTGCAGCTCAGAGGGTCAGTAAGTTTGGCCACCCCTGAAATATACTATCCTTAGAAAATGAGGCCTGTATTTAAAAAAAAAAAAAAAAAAAAAGTAATTATATTACTCATATTTACTAAAGGATAAAGCATGTTTACTTACTATAAGTCATGCAGTAATGTTTGGTAATATGCGTGGTTACGAGTAAATAACCTACTTAAGAACTTGGGAAACTAGGGACTTTGTGATTGCCTATTGCATAAACTCCAAGAACAAACACCACTTAGATTGTATGCTCTTCAGGGCAGGGATTTTCTCTTTGTTATATGTTTGTAAAGTGCCTATCCCAGTAGGGCTCGGACCTTTAGGTGCTACATAATACAAATAGTTATAATAAAACAAATGCAGACCTTGGTCCTGTGATTGGATCCATGTGGGCAGATCTGAATCCTTGTGCATGTGCAGAGGCTTGGTGACTTCAGTGGGACTCAGCCCAGGCGTATGGATCCTCTTGCACAGATCTGATTGCATGATCATGGCTTTTATTTCAAAATGCAACTAAGGTCACTAAGAGAAAACAATATGCATGCCAGACGTCGTTTACAAAGCCCAGAATTTAAAAGCAAGGAAATGAATAATTAAGGGTATGCTAAACCAGGGGTTCTCAAACTCGGGATTGGGACTCTTCAGGGGATCATGAGGTTATTACATGGCGTGTCGTGAGCTATCAGCCTCCACCCCAAACCCCGCTTTGCCTCCAGCATTTATAATGGTGTTAAATATGTAAAAAAGTGTTTTTAATTTATAAGGGGGGGTCGCACACAGAGGCTTGCTATGTGAAAGGGGTCACCAGTACAAAAGTTTGAGAACCACCGTGCTAAACTGTTAGCCACCTTATGAACACATTACTCTTATTAACTACAAAGAAATAGGAGCATCACACTTTGCTGGAGAGCATTTTCTGTCTCTGCCACTGAGAAGACAAAGCTGCTCTAATGATTCCAACAGTTTGTATCCATTAGGGGAAAAAAGGTCAAGGATGGATTGAGTTTAACTAACTTGTGTTAGCTAACTGCATGTGACCTTTCCCCCAGTTTAGATACAGGTGTAATACCTTTCCATCAGCATTGGTCTTGAGAAGCTAAACTGTTAGGAAGCTAAGTATGAATGGGAAAGAGGGGAGATAAGTAGAGCTGTACAAAGGGACACTGAGGATCCACTAAAGGAAACACAAAAGGGGCAGGGAGAGGCAACACAAAAGGTGGAAAGTGACAATAAAAAATAAAGGAGGGTGCACGCGCACACACACACATAATCCCAGGATGTGGGAGAAGGAGAGATAAGTGGGGGAAAAAGTCAATTTCATAATTTTAGGATTGTGGGGATTTTACTTCAGTTCCTTTTGGCAACTTATCCAATTAACTATCAGCATTAATGAGATTGTTAGCCAAAAGAAACACAGAAATAAAAACCCTCACTCTGCAAACTTTTGACTCTTCTACCTTTGCCCCATCATCCCAATTTTGAAACCATCTCAATTGAAAGAGTGTGATAGGGCAAGTTTCCCCCATAGACCAAATGAAATTAGAGCCCTGCAGTGTTAATTCGTGTTTTGCCACATTTCAAATGCAGATATACGTTTTTTGATTAAGAAATCTTCCCTGGGAGGTTGGCTCAGTTCTATACAATCGTTGCCCTGACTTAATTTGTAACACGCACTTCCATTCAGCCCCAACCGCCATGCCATTCCTCAAGTGAATCATTTTAATAACAAGCATGTTACAAGAATTCAGCCCTTCTATCTTGTACAAAGATAATTTCATGGAGAAAGGTAAGTGGGAGTTGAGGGCAACGAGTTTACAAAGTGTAGTAAAAAAGCTGTTTATCTTCTCTGTACTTTTCTTGCCTTTGGGCCAGCTCTGTAGCAGTTATAATAAGCCACTCTAGTGTAATAGTGAATAAGAAGATTTAAATTTCATGGCAAGAAACAGAAATAAAATAAAAGAACAGAAATAAGAGAGGTACCCAGACAGTGGCTAAACGTTTGTTGCTTTTTTGATCTGAGTGATTGTGCTGTGGGTTTGTCATCCTAAAGTAAGTTTGCCCAGTTTGAAACTCTTGCAGCTCTGGGGAGAGATGGGTTTCCTTTTTAGAAGCTACTGTTTTTGATAATGTATCACATGGTATGACAGTAGGCCATCACCACTATAATGTGTAAAATAATAGGTTTCCAGGTATCTGCCCCTGTTCCCTGGATTTTAGTAAAAGGGAAGCATTTCTTGAAAACCTAGAAGTTACTAACATTTCAGGCCTTGTCTATGCTACAGGAGTTACTATGGTACAGCTATGGCATCAAAGCTATGCTACTGCAATCCCATAGTGTAGACGCAGATGACAGTGATGGAAGGGTTTTTTCCGTCACTGTAGGAATGCCATCTCCCTCTAGGTCAATGAAAGCATTCTTCTATCAACATCAATCTGGCTGCCTCTACAGTGGGGGTTAGGTTGACATAGCTACGATGCACAGGATTTTTCAGTCTACCTGGCTTAAGGTTTAAATATAGAATAGGCCAAAGTATTTTCTCACTGTCCTCTAAGGCCTCAAACAACACTTGGCACCTAATGTAGATGAAGACTATGTCTACACTATGGAAGCTTTTTGGCGCAGCTAGTCCTGGAACCCACCAGAGGAGAGGCAATTCTTGATTTAGTCCTAAGTGGAGCACAGGATCTGGTCCAAGAGGTGAATATAGCTGAACTGATTAGTAATACTGACCATAACATAATAAAATTTAACATCCCTGTTGTGGGGAAAACACCAAAGAGTCCACCATTGTAGCATTTAATTTCAGAAAGGGGAACTAGACAAAAGTGAGGAAGTTAGTTAAACAAAAATTAAAAGGTACAGTGCCAAAAAGTGAAATCCCTGCAAGATCCTTCAGCAGGAGCGGGCCTGAAGCCCCGAGCCCTGGCAGGTGCCTCCCATGGGGCTGAAGCCCTGGCAAGTTCCCTGAGTCCTGGGCAGGCAAGCCCCACCACCCTGCTGTGGGGCTGATGCCCTGAACCTTGACAGGTGCACCTAGCTCTTGAACTTCTGAAGATTATCATATGCATCTCAGAGTGTCAGTAACTTTGGCCACCCTGTCATAGAGGATAAACCCATCAGTGGCTGTCAGGGACACAACCCCATGCTCTGGATGTCCCTAAGTCTCTGACTTCCAGAAGCTGGGACTGGATGATAAGGAATTGGATGCCCTGTTCTGTTAATTGCTCTGAAGCACCTGGCATTGGCCACTTTCAGAAGACAGGATACTGGGCTCGATGGACCATTGGTCTGACCCAGTATGGCCGTTCTTAAGTTTTTATGGTATAAGTTTTAAAGGTAGACCAGGCCAAAAATAATGGTGGATTTTGAACACAACACAGCTGTCTTTGTCAAAGCTAGATGGTAAGTGGTGTTTAGAAACACATTAACACATGTCGGTTCATACATTTGCTAAACATAAATTATTTTCTTTGTCTGGATGACCTAAATCTGAGTTCTGTGTTTAGTAATCAGGGACCCAATCCTGCTGATATACCCTTTTGTGTATGGAGGTAGCCATTGGCTTCAGTAGGGCTGCACAAGGGCCTGCCTGCCTGGTTTCAGCTTTGTAGGACAGATTTGATTATGATCTGTATATGGAAAAATAATGTGCCTTTTGAATAACATGATTTATAACAGGGAATAAAATTCTGTTTACTGAGAGCCAGTTCAAATTCATGCTGATTTTAGCAGCGTGTAGTCAATTTAGAGAAATCCATTTGTATTTTTGGTCAAACACTGAAAAATGAAATGCTTTCATTTGATGCCTGCCTGAAAGAGAGATATTGACACTATACAAGCAGCTTCATTTTTATTTTAAGAGTGACTTTATTTTTGATAATGTTTTTCTTCATGTTGCTAATACAGTAGTGTATATCAATAAGGTTTTCAAAAGAAATGCTTTTGAACTCTTTCTTTTTAAAACACTTTATGTGTGTTCTCCATTTAGCTTTTTCTTTCTGATTTATCTTTTTGAAGGAAGAGGAGCTTTAGTAGAGTTTCTTCAGAAATATTTCTCATTATTTCAATTATTTTTTTTCCTTTTCCTTTTATACCATTCCTTTAAACAGATTTGCTAAAACTAAGCTGCATTTTAGGTAACAGTAAAATAATTATTAGCACTTACGTAGTACATCTCTACCTCGATATAACGCTGTCCTCGGGAGCCAAAAAATCTTACCGCGTTCTAGGTGAAACTTGCTTTGATCCACCGGAGTGCGCAGCCCCGCCCCCCCGGAGCACTGCTTTACTGCCTTATATCCGAATTCGTGTTATATTGGGGTAGAGGTGTACTTAGTGATTGTACACACCCATGTGAATCAGTTATTCAGTAAAATCATAGAATTGGAAAAGTTAGAGGTAGAAAAGACCTTTTAGGTTATCCAGTCCGTCTTCCAAGTTGCTTCTTCCAGTATATTTTCTTGTGCTTAGTCTAGGGTGTTTTTTTTTTTTTTTTTAAATGCAGGTTCTGCCACTTTGCTTGGGAGCCTATTCCATATCTTAATTTCTCTGTTACAAATTTTTTCCTGATATTCACCTTAAGTTTTCCTTTCCTTAATATCATTTCAGTATCTCTGTGTATCACACTACATAATTGCCCAATTTTGTTTGGTGTTTGTACTTTTCAAATATTCTTCTGTTGTCATGTGCCTTCTTAATTACTTAGTCATGCTATACTGTACATCAGTGGTTCTCAACCTTTTCAGACTACTGTACCCCTTTTACAAGTCTGATTTGTCTTGTGTGTACCCCAAGTTTCACCTCACTTAAAAACGACTTGCTTACAAAATCAGACATAAAAATACAAAAGTGTCACAGCACACTATTACTGAAAAATTGCTTACTTTCTCATTTTTACCATATAATTATAAAATAAATCAATTGGAATACAAATATTATAATTACATTTCAGTGTATCGTGTATATAGAGCAGTATAAACAAGCCATTATCTGTATGAAATTTTAGTTTGTACTTACTTCGCTAGTGCTTTTTATGTAGCCTGTTGTAAAACTAGTCAAATATCTAGATGAGTTGATATACCCCCTGGAAGAATCTCCTTACTTCTGGTTGAGAACCACTGCTGTGCATATTTAACTCTTTTGTCTTCCCTCATAAATCAGTATCTCCAGTCCATGGTAATTTTTCTTGCTCCTCTCTGAAATCCCTTCAGCGTTTGCCAATATCTCTCTGGAAATGTGGTGCCTAGAACTGAATGTAATATATACCTAGAACCTCAGAGTTGCGAACACTTTGAGAATGAAGGTTGTTTGTAACTCTGACTTGTTCGTAACGCTGAAGAAAATGTTATGGTTATTCTTTCAAAAGTTTACAACTGAACATTGATTTAATATAGCTTTGAAACTTTACTATGCAGAAGAAAAATGGTGCTTTTAACCATCTTAATTTAAATGAAACAAGCACAGAAACAGTTTCCTTGCTTTGTCAAATCTTTTTTTTAAAACTTTCCCTTTTTTTTAGTAGTTTTTAGTAGTTTAGTTTAACACAGTACTGTACGGTATTTGCGTGGGGTTTTGTTTTTTGTTTTTTGGTCTCTGCTGCCTGATTGTGTACTTCTGATTCCAGTTGATGGTTTGTGCTGACTGGTCAGTTTGTAACTCTGGTGTTCATAACGCTGAGGTTCTACTGTAACAGGTTCTGCCAGAGCAGATCTATAGAGAGAGTTATCCCAAGCTGCGCTCTGTGAGACAGTTGATTGGGTGTACATTCCATTTTTCTAAGTAATCCTCACCTGTTTCTTGATGAAGACAGGTTTTTTGCAAAAAGGAGTTCACTATCTGAGTCATATTTAGTCAGCATTAATTTTGCCCCTTTCTTCATTTATTAACAGACCTACAATCTCCCTAAGTATTTTTTTTTCATTTGATATATTTGTAAAAGATTTTTTTAGTTCCATACCATTAGGCTTCTTAGCATTTCCTTATTTTACATTTTCCCTGCATTTTCTGTGAAAACCTTACTGATTGAATGTATTAGTTGGGTTGCTTCTCCATTTTTGTTGTTGTTGTTGCCAGTATGGTTTTTTAATCCTCTGTTCTTTGAGTGGCTCCTTGTGGAGCCATATTGGCGGATTTTCTTTTTGTGAATTCCTCTTTTCTTAGAGGATTTTTAGACTGTGTTGTGTATTCTAGGATTGGTCGGCCTCCTTCCACTTATTGTGCTTAACTAGATTTCTTAATTCCCTCACATGTCCTTCTTCGAGATCCCTGCTTATGAGATATGTGGCTCTGGTATTCAGAGCTTTGAGAAAAGCAGCATCTCTGTCCCCTGCAAGGATCTGAACTTTCAAAGCTAGGCTATAAAAGGAATCCACTGCCCCAGCCAATATTAGTTTCTTCTTTACTGCAGCTCCTTATGGCAAACATTAGGACCATCTCTCCAGGCCCTTTGCTCAGATACTTTTTGTAGCCCTATTGTTGACTCTATTATGGCTCCTCATTGAGTTAAATCAGGGGGAGGCAACCTATGGCACGCGTGCCAAAGGCAGCACGCGAGCTGATTTTCAGTGGCACTCACACTGCCTGGATCCTGGCCACCGGTCCGGGCGGCTCTGCATTTTAATTTAATTTTAAATGAATCTTCTTAAACATTTTAAAAACCTTATTTACTTTACATACAACAATAGTTTAGTTATATATTATAGACTTATAGAAAGAGACCTTCTAAAAACATTAAAATGTATGACTGGCACGCGAAACCTTAAATCAGAGTGAATAAATGAAGACTCAGCACACCACTTCTGAAAGGTTGCCGACCTCTGAATTAGATACTATTCAACTTGAGTAAGGTCATCAGAATCTGACTCAAAATTGTCTCAAGTGTTGTTAGTAATGCTTGTTTAATACTAATAATGTCCATAGGTGGAGCTCAAAGTGCTTTACAAAGAAGTGTTAGTGTCATTGTTCCCTTTTTACAGATGGAGAAATTGAGGCACAGGGAAGTGACGTGACTAGTGCGAGGTCACCCAACAGGCTAATGGCAGAGCTGAAAATGAAACGCAGGACTCCTAAGTACCAGTCCGGTGCTCTGTCCACGTGGCCACATGGCCTCTCATTTAGGCATTCAGCAGCTCATTTTAAGGGAGGCCTTTTGTTAAGAAAACATTCATTTCACCTTTAAATGAGATGATTTAGAAAATTCTTGAAGCTTCAAATCCCATGCGACTCCAGGGTGGTGGTGTTCTTAGAGTTTACCTTTTAAAAAACAACAACAATTTTTAAGGAATTTACCTGTTGCCTTGCCTTTTAATAAATCTCAGTTTACATTAATGGAAGAGTATTACAAATACTATGTTGGAAGCTACTGGGGTTAATCATACTGGCTTGGTTGGTTTTGCAGGTTGGAATTGTGGGAAGAACAGGAGCTGGAAAGAGCTCTTTGATAGCAGCCCTCTTTCGGTTGGCTGAACCCAAAGGACGAATTTGGATTGATAAGTACTTAACATCAGAACTGGGACTTCATGACTTGCGGAAGAAAATTTCAATCATACCTCAGGTATGAAGCTAACTTTGTCCTCCACATGCATTTTCATTTTAGGGCTGTAACATTTCAAAGAACTCTGTCAAGATCATTTTTATAATCATTTTTTCTTTTTCTCCTCTCTGTTGTTTGCAGTACTCCTAGATCCCTGAATTTCATCCTTGTCCATTTTGTAAATATTAGTTTCCCTGTTCTCCCACTGTAACCTTAGAATGGAGCAGAAATAATCACGGCTTTTTTAACAACTTCATTATCTATGGATTTCTGTCACGTCAACCAATTATTTTGTGTGTGCATCAGTGATGTCAATATCAGCACAATTCTAGAAATAGTTTGAATTAAGTTTGCTGGCTAACTACTGCTGAAGAGCCAACACAGAGCATAAAATACATTTGCTAGAACCTAAAAATACGAGTGGCTATTGTTTTCCATAATATCTCTGCAAAGGACTACTAAATTGAAAACAAGAGTCTATATATTTAGTATCCAAATGATTCAGTCTGAAAATACGGCAAAATGTCTTGATCATTTAAATCAGTCCATTCTTGTGGACTAATTCTTCAACAACTGCTAAGAGACAATAACTGAGATTGTGCTTCTCTGTAATCTGATGTATTTGAAAGAATTTGAATAAGATCACATTCTTTCCTACAGACTGCCTCTTCCATAACATATAGGATCAGCCCTTTGGGTCTGACTCTTTCCTCTTCTCTGTCCTCTTCGTGCTGCTCTGACAGGAGTGATGGGCAGTGCAAGCAGTATGCCACCTTCCCCACCAGGAGAAAGATGCAGAGAGGGCATGGCAGGAGTGTGTTGCACTCCAGCAACATCCAACTGGCATATGATCCCTTGGGGGCTGTTGCCAGCTGTGCAACCTGCACCGGGGCAGGAGCTGGGCAGAGAATCACAGACCTGCAATGGGTTCCCTGATCTCTCACCCCTCAACTGGACTACATGGAAAGTGGTCCAGCAGAGAATGTGTGTGTGTGTAGGGTTTTATTATTGTTCTCTTTTTTTAAAATAAAAAAAGCAAAGAAAGAAACCCTGCTCTCCTCTCCCACACACATACATGCTCCTGAAATCTAGATTTGTTTGTCAGTGTGTGATTTTTGGTTTTTCATGTATTTGAATTAAATTCTGAGTGAAAATTAAACACACTTTTTTTTTTTTTTTTTGCATTGGTGCTTTAGGCACCTGATTGACGTGAATGTTTGTAATGTTTTCTTATTTTACGGCTATATCCATATCATAATATTATTTGGGTGTAAGCACAAAAATTAATAATAAACAATATCAATGGCCAAACAAGACTTCACAACTAAACATCTGTTTGCCCCTCAGCTCCTCTCTCCAACAATAGAGCCTTTCTAATTTTTAAATCACTTTCCTCCTTCCTCCAGAACTGACCATACATTTCCTACCAGCTAAAATGCCAGTCTGAAGAGATGCTATTTCAGGGATAGGCAACTTATGGCACGCGTGCCAAAGGCGGCACGCGAGCTGATTTTCAGTGGCACTCACACTGCCTGGGTCCTGGCCATCGGTCCGGGGGGCTCTGCATTTTAATTTAATTTTAAATGAAGCTTCTTAAACATTTTAAAAACCTTATTTACTTTACATACAACAATAGTTTAGTTCTATATTATAGACTTATAGAAAGAGACCTTCTAAAAACATTAAAATGTATTACTGGTACGCGAAACCTTAAATTAGAGTGAATAAATGAAGACTTGGCACACCACTTCTGAAAGGTTGCTGACCCCTGTGCTATTTGCACTGCATCTTAAATATTACCATATTCTGGCTTTGGACTATTGAAGGGATCAAACTCCAGAGCTGAAAACCTTCTCCCAAAAATGTCTTGCCTCTTCTCCTCAAAAAGATGAGTCTTGTTGCTGACCTCTAGAGCATTCTGCATGTCGTATTGCGTGGAAGTTTTCTTTTGAACCTCATCTGCAAAAGAGGTATAAAAAGGGGGAGTAATGGAAGAGATCACAAACTGGATGATGAACAGCAGCAGCAAAACCAATTGTAGCCCAACAGCAGTTCTTACTGTAAATCACAAAGGAGAAACAAGCCCAAGCAGTGATCCACTAGCTATATTCCCTATGTTCAGTAATCCAAGGACACCAGTTAAGCAGCCAGTGAGTACCAGCCTTCCTCTGTCCAAGATTGGACTGGATGATGACCCTGATGCCTACCTCTGAATAGTGACCAATGGTGTTCAGTGAGGGTAGTTGTTCTAGGCCTTCAATTTATTAACAGAAGAGGCACAAGCCATGTGTTAGGTCCTGGCTGAGGATGATGCTACCAGCTACAAAGCCATAAAGCTGCCATCCTAGACCTGATGAGGGGCATTGGAAGAAAAGTAGTTGTGGTGGTTCTGGAAGTAGCCCTTTTCCTCATCAGAGCAGCCACACACCTTTACCCTACAGCTAACTGAAAGAGCAAGCGAGACATTGTTGCAGCAGAAGAATTTTGTATGACCCACATGCCTTTGGATAGCTGGGCCTATGCAGGTCACCAGATTCCATGGGGACTCTGACCTAGCCTCTGGCCATAATTCCCCTTTGAGGTGGGAACATGGCTCTAGCAGCCATGACTATAGGGTGCTCCCTCTGCAGTGCCCTATTCCTTTCATGAACACATGGCCTAGGAGGCATGTGCTTTGCAGGTAGCTCATCCTATTTGTTTGGGTGACGGGAGGAAACACTTGGTTAGACACCAGTGGGATTTGTTTGGTAGGTAGCATTTTAACTGTTAATTTCCAGCTTCCATTCTGTTTTGTTTAATAACGTTGGATCCAGAAGCCTTTTACCATATTGGTGTCTGAATGTTTGTGGGTCCATCAGCAGGGTGAAGAAGTCAAGGTAGCACTCACTTAATGTACTGTTTTATATGTTTATATTCTATTATCTCTCTTTTTAAAAATAACTGTGAATGTAATAAGAAGGTTAACAAGCAATGGCTCTTTAATGCCTCTCTTTGTCACCTGGCTTTCTCTTTTCTTTCTTGAGACTAGAAGCCAAACAAAAAGAGGTAGGTATGCTGTTACTAGCAAAGAAATACAATTGGATTGCAGCCTAATGTGGGCCGTCTTTTGTTTCTGCATACTGGAGGCTTCATTAATGCACAGTGGTGCTACTCAGTGGAGTTAGTGACCTTTTTCTATTTAAAGAGGACTTTACATAGACTTAAATTCTTTCTCTTTTGTTTGTGCACAATGTTCTTTTCTCCTGAAAATGGATGATGATCAGTTCATTCAAGGGCTACAGGGTTTTGAGAACTTTAACTACAAATATTTCAGGTGATTTCCACATTTGGATATCTGATCCCAGGTGAACAAAATATAACTTTAGAGATGGAAAACTGCTGATCAAATGCTGTCTCCACACCGTGAGCACTCATAATTAATTGTATATGTTATTCATGCAGAAGTTTCCTGACCTGACCATAAAATTATTTTAATAAAGTAAAATGTTGTTATTTTTATCTTGCTAGTTATATAGAAGGTTTTTGTCATAGTCCCCAGGGGTTTTAAGTGTCTGAAGATTAGCAGGTAGGGTTTCTCTTCCAGATAAAGAGAGGTTTGTTTTCTACTAAGTATATGCAAAGGTCTAAGACCAAGGAATGACTTTAATCATTTTGGAGGGTGAGGGAATAATTATATTATAATAAACATTTTGTACTATATTACTAATATTTGTATAAGTAATAAAAAATAGCTACATAACATGGAGCAACAGTTTGTAGCTGCAATCCTCAGCATTCTCTGGGAAAACTATGTAGTCTAGCTGTAGGCGTTCAGTAAAATATATCGTGTAGCATGCTAACTGAGTCACTCTCCAGAGAGTGGTGAGAAACAAGACTGAAGTTTCCTTAAATGTGAATTTAAATACCCACAGAAATAAAAATGTGCTTAGGTTTCTAATTGTTTGCTTGGATAGAACTGTTTGAAGGTTGTGTCTGTCTGTAAATATGATCTGTTACCCTGACTGCAAGCATTTTTACAACAATTATTTACAGGTTTGGCTTATTAACTTCCTCTCATAAAACAGGCTATTTTAAATACTAATCTGTGTCAGAAATGATAATTAAAAATTATCCTTATCTGCTGTTGCAATACGTGTTTGCTTTTAGGATGACTTATAATAGTTATGAACATTTTATAAATTCAGTTTCTTATTTTGCCAACCTATAAAAATAGATTGAATGGAAAATTATCTTAACAATACCTTCAAAACATCTCAAATAACTTATTAAAATGTGTATTGTTAAACAAATTACTTGCAGTGTTGTTTTTTTAAAGAAAAATGTTTCCTCAACCATTCTGTTAAACCCCTTTGCTAATTCAACAGGTTTTTATTTAAGTTTCCTGATGCAACAAATACTTTCAAGTACTTGGCACATTACAAGAAAATAAAAAGAAATCAAACACATGATCTTATTACATTTTTGTACCACATTCTGCCATCATCAATACCTTCATAATACTCCAGGAATGGTTTAAAAATTAACACATCATAAAAGGTTTAGGTCCAAATTCTGTCCAGATTTTCTTCACCCTCATGCAGGTCCATGGACACCAGTAAGGGTCTTCATCAGGGCAGGATTTAACCTTTAAGATGTGTGATGTCTTTAAAAAAATCATATCATATAAACAAATGTTTACTCTTTTTTTAAAAAAAATGTAGATTTAAGAAACTCTGGTAACAAATCAGATATTTCACAGTCCTCAACAGCATGATGATGTTTTTTTTTGGCTTGGATTACCTTGTGTATGACATCAAGAATTACTGACATCCTAACATTTCCTCCAGTCCATGATTCTCAGATTGTGCCATCTCTGCTTGAATATCAGCAGCATTCAGGGCTGTTAGTAGAGAATTCTGGGGTAAAATCATGTCCCTCTTGCTTTTGTTGACTTGAAGATCAGTTTGTGGCATTGGGCTAAAGCTCAGTGGTTCAGCGCTCTCCCACTTTTGTTGCCTTAACCTTTTGATTTCCTTCAGGGCCTTTAGGTAGGAACAAACTTATTTCCTGGTCTTTTCATTCTCTCACACTTCTTCTTCCCTTCAGAGCATGGAGGTCTTTGCCTTCTGGGTCTTCCAGTGTAGTGCCTCCCTGACAGGTCCCTCTACCTCTCCTCTTCATGGCAGAACTGCCCAGAAGACACCAACCAGAGACCAAGCAGTGTTCATCTAACAAGGCAGTTCTGTTTAGCAGCTCAGGAGAGCTTGGCCATGCCTGTCCACAGTTTGTGGACCCTTGCTCTGCCAAGGGGAGAGGCTCTGAGTTGGATTAGTTTGAGAGGGTCTGCCTCCCATCAAGCCACAATATATTCCACACCGAGAGAGAGAGCACAGAAAGGAAGGAATAATCTGATAGGCTCACAGGAGGAGGAGTCCAGGCACCCCACACCTGCTCCAGGAGTCCAACCCAGATGAGTCCTGCCACAAGTCTTTAAATAGGACACTTCTCGTTAGGCAAGGGGCAGGCATCCTTTCCAGCTTCCCTTCCTCTCAAGATGAGGCCAGGGAATTTTAGAGGGATACCCTAGGCATTTCTTCTCTTGGATGAGGATCCAGAGGGTGACAACTTCTTTGCAAAGGCTGTCTCTATCCCAAGGAGCACAAAAGAGCACACCTTATCCCACCAGTGACTTAACAGTGATTTTACACACCCACACAGAGGCTAAAAAAGGAAGAATAAAAATCTAGCAGGTATGGGTCCCCCTCACCAGATTCCAGTTCCAGCTCATTAACTGATATGGGGTGCTAGAACATGACAATCAAAACAAGATGGGAGGGGGTGGTTTGAACCCCATTTGCTCACTAACTCCATAGGCAGAAAAGTGGGGTGACCACAACTGAAATCCAAGAGCAGAAAACCCCAAAGTTGATCAGTCCTCAGACTGCAGATCAGAGGCTGCCTTTCCCCTATGTAATGAAGGAAGGAATAGGAACCCTTTTACAAGGGCAAAATGTTTTAGAAAACAAGCTACAACATTTTAGTAAATTCAGGAACCAAGGATGTCATCACATTCCTGCCTGAGGTCTGTGAAGTGGTAGCAGCCCTAACCCAAGGTATGTTTAGTCCCTCCATAGAATGGACTAATAGTATATCCTGGCTGTCTTCACCGGGGGCATTAGGATGCCAGCAGCAGGTCTGAGGGATTCCTACTGCCCCAGCTGGGAGAATAGGCCATAATCATCCTCCTCCTTCTCCCTCTTTGATTCCCTTCACTGGCTCATTGTATTTCACTGTATCAAGTTAAAGCTTAACCTCCCCTCAAGACTCTTTACAACTCTTCCCTCCTTAGTCATTTGCTCATTCTTGTCACCCCCATACTCTGTGCTCTGCCAATTATGTTGTCCTTTAATGCCCATTTGTCTGCTTCTCCTAAAAATATCTCCAGACTTTCTTCCACATTGTCCATAATATAGAATTCCCTCCCTGAACTAATCTATACTTCTGCTCCTTTTCTGCTATAACACCTACAAGAAATCAGTCAGTCATGGCTAGATTAAAAAGAAAATTCAGATGATTTGGAACCATCAACTTGGGCATGTAGGTAGCCTGTGTAAGTGTGTGTTGTTTTCTTTGCCACCCTTGTCTTGCCATCCTGTTCTCTCCTTCGGTTTGTCACACTCAATGTGTTAAGTCTTGTTTGAAATTTAGAGTGTAAACTCTAAGGGGCAGTGATTATGCCTTGCCGCGTGTTTGCCTAGAGGTGCCCCAATTCTCTCTTGGTGCTACTGAAGTACAAGTATTAGTATTAACCATCATTAACAGATACATGTGTAGACGTAAATGTTGCAGAAAAGTTGTGAAATCTATTTATCTTTCAGATGCTTAATGTTAAAATTGGAGGGTTTCTCCAGACTGAAATAAAACAAAAATCCCAACACCTTGTATTCTACCTCTTGAGCCACTTGAGTCTTCTCCTCTGTCTGTTCCTTATATAGGTAGGGAGCAGAGTTTTAAAAGCACCCAAGTATCCTAGGAATGTAAGTGCGTTGAGTTGATCTTCTTGTTGTTGCTTGTTTCCGCTAACAGTGTCGGTGGATTTAATTGCCTCGCTTGTAAATATACTATAAAGTGTTGTGGTGTCAAAAGTAGCACAGATATGCCAGTTCAAGTACAGACAGAATAAATTGTTGCATATATTTCGATTTTGTCAAAATACCTGTATTTGTTTCATCTGTTTTATTAAATATCTTCATGCAGGCTGGTTATGCATTTATCTTATTTTTTCTTCAACATGCCCCAATACACCTCTGAGTTTTCTTTTCTTTTATTACTTCTGTGATATAAAAAGAATCACAACTGTTTTTTTCCTTGCATTGTACTAGGGATCATTTGTTGTTGTACTACATGTATGTGCCATGCATGCTTCAAATCAGCTTTACTGTGTTTAAATTCTGTGTTGCAGTATGAAAACTAAGTGTATATAAAAACTAAAATGTAATGTTGCATTGGTTTGTAGGAGCCCGTTCTGTTCACTGGATCTATGAGAAAAAACTTAGATCCTTTCAATGAATACACTGATGAAGAGCTGTGGAATGTCTTGGAAGAGGTAATTCCAAATATCTGATCATTTGTATCTAATGTTCACATATAAAATAACATTATTCATAGTGTTTATACATATTAGGTTTGATCTGGTTTTGTTGGATTCAGTAAGGATATGGCTGACAGAAGAAAGGAAAACAACTGTGGGGTGTGTAAATGTATATAAATGTCTCTATATATAACATTGACCTGCTGGATCTTGCATTAATATTTTTTATCATTCAGGATGCAGATTTGATATATTTTGATTAATTAAAAATAGATTTTTAAACAGTTTTAGACTTAACTGTAGAATTGAATTATATAATGTGTGGATATGAGTATGAAATGTAAATCTTACATGCTTATTGTTGTGTAAAGCATAACAAAAAATATTTTGTTAAGAAATGAGTTACTCATCCTACAGTGCATTGGCATACCTACAGGTGCAACTGAAGGAGGCTGTGGAAGAACTTCCTGATAAAATGGAGACACAGTTGGCAGAATCTGGATCTAATTTTAGCATTGGTCAGAGACAGCTCGTGTGCCTTGCCAGGGCAATTCTCAAAAAAAATCAAATTCTGATTATTGACGAAGCAACAGCAAATGTGGACGCAAGGTAAAACACCAAAGGCCATAGTAAAATGAATTATCCTGTTTGTACACGGTTGGTGTAACACAGAGGTGAACTGAAAAGCTTCATATCTTGTGCAGCCTGTGCTGGGGTTTGTGTTTTCATGCAACGCTGATGGCATCACTAATGCCTAATCAGAGCAGGCAAACCAAACACTGTACATGGCTTAAGGGGTTTGATCACGAAAGCTCCCCTGAATGCATCCTGAGAGGGGATAGATACAGGCTCTGTCCTTGGAAAGAGAAAAATATACTTGATTTCTGTGCGTAAATTAACATTTGAAGCTATTTACCCTGCAGCAACCATGGATAAAAGACTCCTTTTGGAAATGCAGATCAGCACTGTCAAGATAACCTCTTAGAGAGACAGAATGGATGAGGCAATATCTTTTATTGGACCAACTTCTGTTGGTGTCTCTCTAATATCCTAGGACCAGCACAGCTACACTGCAAACAAAAGATAATCTCTTGACAGACTTCACAGAATGGAAAGATTCTAAGGCCACCACCATCCTACAAAGATGAGGGACCTCATGATGAAAAAGTTAGGCACGGTGTTGGGGTCTGTTGATCCAGGAAGGGTATCCTGTGCACATAGTGACAAAGACTTGCAAGGAAAAATGACTGTGACAAATAACAAATAATATTTATTAGATCTCATTCCTTCCAAATGCTCAGGATGGTATTCAGTACATACAGTTGGTTACAGATAAAACCCATTAAATAGAGGAACTCAAAATCCTAAGAGATCTTCAAATATTATAGAACTAAAAAATAAAGTAGTCTTTAAAGCTCCTTTGAACACTGGTGAGAATAAGTAAAAGAGACCGTATTTTTTGAAAACACTGCAAATATGCTGCATCAGTTTGAGCTGAACAGATAGTTCCACCAAACTATGGTTTGAGAAAATCCAAGGACAATAAAACAGCAAGTCCCTCAAATAGATGCATTTAATATTTTTATCATCAAAGCAAATTGTAGTTCACTCACTGGTCAAAGAATTTATGCCGTATGTTCATGACTGGTCATTCAGTGCACTTTTTTCCACTAGCTGCAATCAGTGGAGTTGCTTTGATATTCAAATATAAAAGGAATTACAAAAATCAATTCCAGATATAATAAGGATCTGAACAGCATTAGTGAGAAGTCTTGCCTGTAGTATTCCAGCACGCTATACTTAATATTATTATTTATTTGAATTACTACAGCATGTAGGAGGTCTAGTTATGGAACAGGACCCCATTGTGCTAAGCAGTGTACAAGCACAGAACAAAGAGACGGTCCCTGTTCCAAGCGGCTCACAATCTGTGTATAAGATTAGACAACAGATGGATATAGACAGACGGCCGAGTTCAAAGAAACAATGAGAAAGTTTTGGTCAGCAGGATAGGCAGAGTTCTCTGCACACCAGCAGCCTAACTGTTGTCAAGCTTTTTGTAGGCATCATGGCAAAGGAGAGTAATGCTTTAATCATGCAAGATGATCAGTGCAGGTGGACCTCCTGTGAGGATCAGCTTGCGCGATTGGGGCCTGTTTGGTTTTTGATTTGCTCACTGTAGGTCACTTTGGAGTGGCAATGATTGTAGTTTCCCTGAGGAAAATTAAATTTGAGTGCTAGCAGAGAGAGAAAAGCTGACTGAGGAATTGTGAACATATTGCCACATGCAAAACCTACAGATTTTGTGGCCATTTCTGAGGAGGTAGTACAAATTCTTGATTTCCCCAAAGAAGTCGGTCATTCTATACACAATACACAGTTACTTCCACCACTGCAGTGCTGCATATTGCCAAACTGTTTTAGTACTGTGTGAGAGACTGGAAAGATGTGTAATGGTCCAGTGCTGGGAGAAGTTACCCTTCTGTATCAGAATGCCAAACTTCAAAAATTTAAGGGCTGTGTCCAGTGAAACCCTCCCAACTGCAGTTAACTGTACCTTGTTTACCTATAGTAAGTCTATAATTCTGGAAGCAAAGTATCATTGTCAGTTCTTACACTGCCGATAGCCAAGGTGGCACTCCTCTTTCCACAGAAGAAACGGGCTATTTTATTTTCACTTGTATTAAAAACAAAAAAACAAAAACACTAGCATTAGCAATTAATAGACTTCTTCCTGATTCCCGTGGAGTCCAGAACCACAAATTCATCCTTCCACTGAGGTATCTGCCCATGACTCATTTTTGTAACCTCTTCCTGGGAGAGAAGTGGTGCCAACAGAGAAGCTTTGCAGTGAAGCATGCATTTCATTTCTAAAACCTTTAGAGAAGAAAGTGCCTTTCCTTCTCCATAGATTTTGGGCTGCTAGCTTATTTTTGGCTAAAAAGTGATATTATCTGTGATTTAATCAGACCAATGGAAATTTCATATCCTTTTACTCATCCTCCCCATTTTGACATCTTTATTTTTTTTATTTGCACTATCTATTTAAATTATCTTACTTGACATGTGCTGCAGATATACTGCAATAAAGTAAATGTTTACTAATAGCAACCGTAAGCATTACAATACAAATGATTGAAGAGGTATCAACTTTAACTTGGAGTTTCTTCTTTGAGTTGGTTTGCACTGCAGTTTGCACTACCTTTTTCTTAAAATCTTGGGCGTAGATGTGGTGGTGGACTTTTAAGTATAGTGCAGCCTAATAGGATGCACATCAGGAAATACTGCAGTCTATTGCCAAATAGGAAATGGTCTAAATATGAAAGTTTACATAAGCCTGGTGGTCTAAGTATTTCACATGATGATTGATGGAAATTTAGCACAAGTTTAGCTTTTCTTCATGGTCATGAAGTTGGAAATTTTATCCCCATGAATAAAATAATTCTGTAGTAGTTAAATGATTCTTAAAAGTTGCACATGAAACCCTCGGCATCACAATTGGAAATGATATGAATCACTTTATTTCTGGCGTTATGTCTTGGAAAATCTCCAGTAATTGAGACTTGTGAAACTTTCTAGAGAATTTACATCCCTTTTTCATCCCCAGATAAATCTGTTTGCATGATGTTTAATTAAAATAGGGTTGGGTTTCCTTGTCAGCTACCATTATTTGGTTAACGTTCAGATCAGGTTTTTGTTTTCAAACATACATGAAGGATCGGGGCTCTAGTGAAGCTGGTCCACAGAGGTGCCTGATCCCAGTGTGAATTCACCCTGAGGAATGGCAAAGCCACTGCTACTTTGCCTCAGTTTTCCACTGGGTGGGTAGCTGTAATTCACATTGGGAATGGCATTTGCACTCAGTCAGCCCAGGCTCTCTGGCCCACACCCATTTTCCAGCTAAATCTGGGAGGGGCCTTTTTTGAGGCTTGCTTCCTTCCCTCCCTTGTTGAAGGTAAAGTTGCAGCTGCTTTCAACAACCACAACCCCCTTTTCCCCTTCCCTCCAGCAGACTGTCCTCCAAAATCTGCATAAATCTTGGAGTGAATCTGTCTCAGTACCTATCAATGATAGGTTCTATATTATTTTGTAACCTGTGCTGTTTTAAGTATGGGCCCCCACTTTTTTCTAATTAATATGGTTAACTCTTCTTTTGGCAGCCTCACTTTCAGAACTTTTTGAAACTGCACATACACGCAGCCATTGGTTTATTATTAGGGATCAAGGCCCCATTGTGTTAGATTCTGTCCAAAATATAAGCAAACATGGCATCTGCCCTGAAGAACTTACCAATAAAAGATGCAACAAGAGAGTGCAACAAACAATAGGAAGAAAGGAAGGACAAGGATGATAGTAAGTTCGTGTGGCTACAAAGGTTGGCAATGGGCACAACTTGTTTAAACTTTATTTTTAATTGTTTTCAGGATTTCTTATTAAGCTATAACTCCTTGTGCTCCCCTAATGACCCATCAGTAAAAATGGTTCTGAACTTACTGACCTTTTTAAAAAATTGTTTCCCCCTCTCTTCTATGTAGACCATCTCGAACCACCCCTCTGTCTAGAATTATTGGAGAGGAGGGGTGTATATAAACTATCCTCACAACTGCTTCAGATAGTAGGACCTTCTCTCTTCCCTGGGCTACTGTCTCCCAGGTGACTAAGAGATTGTCAGGGCCCTGGTTTTCCCCCTTGGACAGCAGCAGAGAGAATAGCAGGGGTTGGTCTCTGAGAAGAGGGCAGAAAACCTATTGGTTATGGATTGAGTGCTCTAATACTACCATGGTTTGGGGTCTGAAGGTGCCAGAAGGGCTTGCCTGTGGTCCAGGGCTGCTGGAACAAGAGTGCTCGAAAAGTCTGGCTCCAGGGGAGATGAGGGATGGGTGAGCAGGAAGCTCAGCTGTCCCCCGTAACCCTGCCTCAGTGGCAGTTCTACTGCTCCTGACTTTTCTCCTTTGGGAGAAGACAAGGACCTTCTTACGAGGCAGTTTCTTCAGGAAACTCCAAGGAAGGCTCCGCCCACACTGGGACCGTGTGCCCCCAAAGTCCTGGTTCCACAGGGAGCTGATCTTCTGCTATCTTTATGTCTTGCATCTCTAGGTAATAAACATATTCACAGGGCTGTCCCCTTTGCTGGAGAGAGTGTGGGTCCTGAACTACTAAACAGATGTCTTTTATGTAATATATGGATATTTTTATATTGCTGGGTTAATTTCAATAGGGGATATTTGCTTATTGTAGATACTCTCATTCAGACTCGAAATCAAAAGTTAGATTGACATTCTGGAAGATGTATATAGTGTGAGACCTTTGGATGGATGTGATTTAGCTTGGTGATTAAAGCAGTGGGATCTCTTACTGCACTTGCTGAGGAAAACGGGGAGCAGGTGCTGATCCCTCAAGTCAGGGAGAAGAAACTGAGCCATTCTCTCCCCCATTTCCATCTTGCTTTAACCGCTGACCTTTGGTGCACATGATAGTGGAAATTTTTTGAAAAAGAAACATTTTCATCCTTAACCTTCAGAATCCTCCCTTTGGGTTTCTTTCATGATGTGCCAAACCATATTGAAGGAAGGACATACTCCAGCACCTCTGCAAATTAGTATTTCCTGATGTTACAGTTATTTACAGTACAATCATAGAACTTCTCTGAAGTCAGATCATTGTTCATGTAGCTCTCTCACTTCCATTTGCACTGCTCTTTTTGTGTTTCAGAACGGATGAGTTGATTCAAAAGACAATCCGTGAAAAGTTTGCCCAGTGCACTGTGCTGACCATTGCACACAGGTTGAACACCATTATCGACAGTGACAAGATTATGGTAAGAAAGTTAACAGCATTGGTTCAAGTTCCCTCTAAATAAGATTGAATAGACATGGGTTTTTTTTTTATTCTGATCCAGGGAGGAAGAGAAGGTGGTTTTGGCAATTATAAATCTATGGAAAACTACCTTGACTAGCAGCTCATAGAAGTTAAGGATGGAAAAAGACCTATTAGATCGCCCAGTCACTCTCTCTGCTGATGCAGCATTGTACTCTACAGTCAGGGTCCCATGTACTCTGCAGACATAGAAATGTATTAAGAATCTTTCACTGCCATCTCTCGCTCCTCCCAGCTCATACCTGAAAAAGACTCAGTGAAGTGCAATCCGTTGATTATTTTTCAGGAGGGGATATTTTTGCTGTGCTCTCCCGGCAACTTGGCTGCAGTCTCTGGGCCTTGGCTCCTGCAATGTTGTTTAGCCTGGGTCATAAAATTCTTCCTCCCCTGTGTGCCAGGGGAAAGAGGGAGCTTGTAGGTAGCTTTAGCAGATCCTCTCCTCAGCTTCCCAGTGCTCAGTTGCTTTGCTGTTCTCCAAACAGCCCCGCTTCCCAGCCTATACTTCTGGTACCTGATCTCCCTCCATCACCTTTATCTCTGCCCCTAGCCCCCACAATCTTACTTCCTGGGTGCAAACTGGACATTTTGGGCTCCCAGGCTTGAAGAAATAACTACCCTTAGTGGGGAAGGTTGCAGGAAGGGTTTGGTAGGCCAGGGAGACACACAAGAAAATGTCCAGCACCTGGCTTTAGTAAAATGCTGACTTATTCAGCAAAAATGCTGAATATTTTGGAACATGCCAAATTCCGTGTCTATAGAATTGTGGACCCTGATTGAGATGAATTAAACAGTTCACAGCTCTTAGGATTATTGTTTTAGGTTGTCTGCACTGTCAGGCCGGTATTACTGCATTGGTTTACGCTCAGTTAACTTCTTCAAGGTTATCTTCACGAACATAAGGGCTAATAACATAATGTGTCTTATACGGGAACAGATTCTGGAGATTAATTTTGTAACAAAAATTGAATTCCACAGTCATTGCATACACATGGCCCTGTCTACAGTACATGAATTAGTGTTTCCCCAAATAAATGTCCTATGCGGTGGTGGGGTTTCTACCACTTCCCTTGAGAGATTATTCAACAGCAATATGAGAAGAGTTGTATTGATATTTTATATATTTTCTTAATTTCATCACATTATAGTATGGATACTTCCTTGTACCATCCTGATATAACTTTCCCTCCTTGATGTCTTCTGCAGCATTCATATAGTTGTATCTCCTCTTTTATAGTCACCAAACCAAACTATGAATACTCAAGTCTTTCCTTGTAAGTAAGTCCTTCCAAATTCCTAATTATTAATCACTGTTGTTTCTGTTCTCTGAACTTCCTCCAATTTGTAAGGATCTTTCTGGCATTGATGTGTACAGAACTGCAAACAACATTTCATGTGCAGTTGTCTCAGAGATATATAGAGAAGGACCGTTGCTTCCCTGCTCCGTCATTGTTGTGTCTGAGCAGCCTAAATTTGTATTGGCCTATTTTGCTCCCATATTGTATTACAAACTTGTGTCTGATTTGGTTCCTTGTTCCATTCTGTGTCTTCTAGCCCTCTATCAGAAGTACTGCTTTCCAGATTATTTCCTCCCATTGAATATCTATTGTGACAGACCCAGACCAGTGGGGTACAGGAGTCTGGTAGAGGGCAAATATACCGGTCACTGGATGAGTAGTTTTCTGTTCCCTGAGTGACCAGAGCAGGGGCTGCACTAGAGTAATCAGGAACCTGCTAGAACCAATTCAGGCAGGCTAATTAGGACACCTGGAGCCAATTAAGAAGAAGCTGCTAGAATCAATTAAGGCAGGCTAATCAGGGCACCTGGGTTTTTAAAAAGGAGCTCACTTCAGTTTGTGGTGTGAGTGTGAGGAGCTGGGAGCAAGAGGTGCAAGGAGCTGAGAGTGAGAGGGTGTGCGGCTGGAGAACTGAGGAGCACAAGCGTTATCAGACACCAGGAGGAAGGTCCTGTGGTGAGAATAAGGAAGGTGTTTGGAGTAGGCCATGGGGAAGTAGCCCAGGGAGTTGTAGCTGTCATGCAGCTGTTACAGGACGCAGTATAGACAGCTGCAGTCCAAAGGGCCCTGGGCTGGAACCCGGAGTAGAGGGCGGGCCCGGGTTCCCCCCAAACCTCCCAGTTGACCTGGACTGTGGATTCGTCCAGAGGGGAAGGTCTCTGGGCTGTTCCCCAACCCACATGGTGAATCTCTGAGGCAAGAAAATCCGCCAATAAGCGCAGGACCCACCAAGATAGAGGAGGAACTTTGTCACACTTTGTAAATTGTATCTCAGTTTGTTATTTACTGCCCAAGTTTCTTCAGTCATCTGTGCTGTCTTACTATAAGAAACCTGAAAACTGGATATAGACATAGTACATCAAGATGGAGGTTAGCATGTTAAGAGAATGGAATGGCTCATCATCATTATCATCATCATGTTCCCTTTACGCCTCTGGTGTTTAGGGCAGTGACGAAGCTCCTCCACTCCTGTCTGTTTCTGGCAAGGCTTTCAATGGTTCACCAGCTGTGCCCCAGGTCTTTCAACTCGGCTTCCACAGTTTTTTGCCATGTTGTTTTGGGGCGGCCTCATTTTCGCTTGCCTTCAGGTGTCCATCTTATTGCTACTCTGGTGATGGAATCAGTTTCCATCCGAAGCATGTGGCTAATCCATCTCCCACACCTCCTGGCAATGATGGTGCTCATGTCCTCTTGGCTGCACTGGTCAATAGATCTTGGTTTGAGATTGATCTGGGCCAAAAGATATGGAGCCTATAATCTCTTGTTGATTGGTTTGAAACGAGCTTGATAGTAGTCAATGAAAGCAACTGCCAGTTGTTAAGTGGTTTACTAGATGTGGATCTGTCATCTCATCTCATTTCTTAGGTCCCAATTATGCAGTTGGTAGCTCACAGCAGACTGCTACTCTTGCACAGAGCCTCAGTCAAGTTAATGCAACTCTGCGTAGGCACAGCTATCCACCCACATGCTATTAATTGTAAGATGAGGGCTTTTGTGGGCACGTACATCACAAAAAGCAACAATAGAAATGACACTAGAGGTCACCCTTATGGTTGAATAGAAGGGTCAAGATTTTACAGAGCTGAAGACGGAAGTACACTCTCCCCCCTAGATGAGGGTGATATTAATAGAACCATCTTTACTAAACTTTTTCTCTCATAAAAGCTGAAATAGGGAGTGTTTTTATTCTCACTAGTTATTTTTTCCTCTTGGGTACCATAAACACATTTTAAACCAATAGTCAAGGATTGTAATGGTTGTGTGGTGTATACAAAAATGAAGTATCTGTGCCTATTGGTGTTCTGGAGCATCATAAACATTAGGCTATGAATTGGCAGATTATAGTTTACTGCTGGGTAGTCACTTCATAAATATTGTCATAATAAGTCATGTAACTGCAAATGCTTACGGTGTAATAATTAAGTATTTCTTCACTGGTGAATACTTCCCCACAAAGACTGTTCTGGCTTTGTTTACTGCCACTATGTTGAACAAAACGCTTGTTCTGAAACAACTGCAACCTAATTAATAGCTTTGTTTATATGTTGGCTATCCAAAGGGATTTCCACTAGTTTTGGTTCATTAGGCACCATTAACATGTTAGGTTCAGAATGCTATTTTATAAAGATGTTTTCACGTTATTAAACATGGTACAGTCATAATGATAGCTACTTAAAAGGTAGACAAATTAAAAATAGTCTTTCTTCCCCTACTGCTCACTCTCTTATGACTAAAGATAGTTCCTTTGTTGTAGCTCTAGAGTTAGCTTGCTATTTCTGATGTTTTATTGTTTCCTTTTAGCTTATATTACAGACCCCTTTCCTTTAAAAACCCTTTATGTCCACATACAATCCAATCTGACTTCTCTTGGAATGGTTTTGCTGTCCTTTCTAGATTGTATTAAGGAGAAGATTTACAAAGTGTCCCATAGGCTCAGCAAGCTTTACTAGTCCACATCGTTGGCTTGAGAATTCTGCAAGAATTTGCAGGGGGGAGAAACATAATACAGAAAGAATGAGAAATTTAATACCTATTGTGAGCCATTAAGAAACCTCTTTTCTTCAAGTCACTACACAGAGCTTTTCCTGGCTTGGAGCCACTTGCAGCTGGTTTCCAGTAGCTATGAGTGAGACTTAATCTTCTCTCACTACACTAGCAGCAAGAAAGACACCAACATGAAACTATTGCCTCTGCCTCCAAAAGATCAGAAGCATTGTACACCATTGAAAATAAGAACATAAGAACGACTGTACTGGGTCAAACCAATGGTGCATCTAGCTCAGAATTCTGTCTTCCAACAGTGGCCAATGCCAGGTGCTTCAGAGAGGCAGAACAGGCAATCTTCGAGTAATCCACTCCCAGCTTCTGGCAGTCTGAGTCTAAACGGCAGTGTCTATGGAAGAGATATTTTTAAACAAAAGTATACTTTAAAAAAAAAATCTGCATTCATATATACATGTACCTTATGGGAAGTGACCTATTAAAGAGGCTAGAAGGATTCTGGAATTGTAAAAAACAAAAGAAAACCAAAATAGTGTTCCGTATTCTTACAACAGCAAGAGACTGTTCTTCATTGTGGAAGTAGCACATGTGGTAGCCCTAAATAAATATATTCCGTATATGCAAACTAGCCTTAATGGATGATTCAGGTTAATAAACAAATTACTCAAAAGTCAGAGAATTTCAAAAGTTAAGGCTAAATAATTAACCTTAACTGTATTCCCTTTGTGCACATATTTTCAGATATGGGCTCTCAATATTACAATGTGTTATTTCTTAAATACAAATGTGTAACTGTGACAAAGTATGTAAAGCCCACACCAGGCAGGAAGGGGTTAAGGAGCTGCTCTGCGCTGGAGTGGTCCACACTTGTGAGTCATGTCAAGAATGGAGGAGGAGGAGGAGCTCTGGGAGGAGAACTGAATGC